TTTACCCATTCAGTGGGCTCTTCCACTTTCATGATCACTCCCAAGTCCTCCATTCGCTGAAGTTCCACTTGAACTTTCTCATGTAGGGCAATTGGAACTTTTCGTGGAGCATGTACTACTGGTTTCACTTCTGGGTCAAACTGAATACTGTACTTGTCTTCAAGACATCCTAAGCCTTGGAAGATATCTGGAAACATCCTGAGTATTTTCTCAGAACTACTTGCATCAGTAATCAGGCGTTCAATGTTCAACAGGACTTTTATCAGGTTTAAGTCCTCACAGGCTCGAAGTCCTAACACTGAGGGTGCCTCTTCTTGCACTATATAGGCGTACAGACACATTTCTGTAACTACAATCCAGGTAAGTCATACCTGCAATTTTCAACCAATTCTGTCCATAGCCGTAAAGCCTTGTGTCCGGTTTCTCAAGAGGACCTGCAAACTTGCAGACTTTTAGAAAGTCTCTCTCTGAAATAGCAATGACTTATGTGCTCCTGTATCTATCTTCATAGGTACTATGAACTTCTTGTTCACTAGAATATCTGCATATTGTTCTGAATAGTCTTCACCACTTTCACCCTTCCTATCCTCTATTGTCCCAATAAAGAGTTCATCAGTCTCTAAACTGTGGACTTTTGGGTTGCTTTGACCTTGTTTCCATCTTCCAGACCCTCTTGAGTTCTGTGTTCTTGGTGGATTCCTCGCTACTGTTCTGGACCTACAAACTGATGCATAATGTCCAAATTTGTGACACTTCAAACACTCTGCACTTCTCGCAGGACACATGTCATTCTTTGAATGTGATTTTCCACATCTTTCCCACCTATCACTACTTGTTTTCACACTAGCCTGTGCACTTGCTGATCGCTTCTGACTACTGTCCCCTAACTTCCTCTGATGAGTATAATTACCACTTCTCTTCTGAATGCTACAAACTGCCTCTGACTGAATTTCTTTCATCTGTTTTTTACTCACTTCAAAACTTCTCACTATTTCAAGGGCCTTATTTACTGTCAAATCTGCTTCTTGTATGTTACTTGTTCCACAAACTATTCTATCACGAACCGTGTCATGAGGAATCGCACCAAAGGCACACTCTGTCACGAGGGTTTTGATTTCTGTCACATATGAATCCACTGTCTCATTTTGGCCCTGAACACGTGTATTAAAGCGAAAAAGCGCATGATTGTCACATTCGTTTTAGGAATACTATAGTTTTCAAATTTTGTGTACAGAGGTAGCAATTTATCCTTTTCTTCATTTGTCAATGTCCAAGTATTAAATACATCTCGGCCCTCCTGACCAATGTACAACAGAAAATAGCTAGACTCTTCCTTCTCATCTTTCGCCGCGAGTGGTCCACTGAACAGCATTTATATCGTCTGTTTCCACTTTTTCCAACTTTCTGCCACATTAGCGGCATCGAAATTCATTGGCAGAATGTCAATTCGACCTGCCATGACTTCTGACACCATGTAATTACCTTTGTATTAATGACAAAATTCGAGCTCAATACGAGCCAACTTTACTTCGGCCATGTGACGATAAGTACAAAAACTTGGTCCGTCAATCTCCAATCAACAATACATATAAAACTCGAATCTGTAAACGAAACTTTGCGTTTGGGGGGAAAAACATCAAAACTCATTATTGCGCATATTATGAGCACCTCCTTCTACACAGCTGTGATTTTTGGGGATTTTTCAAGAAAATACGGTATCTGAAAACACCAACTTATATGCCAGCAGCAACATCATTTCCTGCAATCTGGATCAGTGCATGTGACTCACTCAAGACATTCAACTGTGCCAAGTACTGGACTGGACTTATGTAATAGTACCTATTATATATTGCTGCTGCCACATATCTGACACATTGTATTGCCTTTTATGATTTTAAATCTAATCCTAAAAAAAAAATGTTTAATTTAATTTGTTATCTATTCATTTATTTTGTATGGTTATTTGCTGATAAGTTCTGTACAATCCACTTTCTGGGTTAATCATCCCGTTTAAAACTTGGGAAGCAACCAGAAACAGAAATTGGGGCTTGAGTCTACAGGTGAGGAACAAATCAGGGTTTTGAAGAAATGGGAATTATTAGCGGTAGTTAAGTGTTATAGCCTTCAATGTGCAATTCACTTATAACTTTTGAAAATAGTTCATAAAAAAAAAAAAATTTTATAAAGGGTTTGCATGTGCAGAAGTTTTCTTATCTGCATCACCAAGTCTACAGGGACTAACATATCACAATTTCATTTCATCATCATGACCAATGAATCCCCGACTTGCCACCATCATTGTTTACACTACCGTACTCATTCATATACAGTTTGTCCCGTGGCCCGGAGAACCCCCCACTGGGAGATCATGACACAGTTAGTCCACTTTTAACAAAGATGAATTCATAATGAACAAGTACTAAATAATTTCTTTCTTATCCTCTTCACTATCAACATATACACCTTACATCCCCTAGATATATATTTCTAAATATTATACCAGACTTCAGCGAGTCTACAAGTAATGACAAATCAACCAAGTCGCCACTTGGAAGAGAAAACACCATTTTCAAATAATAATCTCTTTTTTTTCGAAATGAACACATATTTACCGTATTTTCTTGAGTATAGTGCACACTTTTTTTCCAAACAACACAGCTGTGTAGAAGGGGGTGCGCATTATACACGAATTATGAGTTCGGATGTTTTTTCCCCCCATGGAAAGTCATTACCGTGAGCACGAAACACCGGAAAAACCATGTCAACAAATCCATACTGAAGTACGCAAATTAATCATGTAATTACACTGTCTGGCTATAAAAAGTGTTCTTTGTTTATCTGGACTTATGTTTGTAACTTATTTCATTATTTAATTCAAAATTCCTTTCAATATTGTTTTTATTAATTTCGGCGAAATCGTGTGTGAAGCGATCTGAAGATCGCACAACTCACCATTATTAACAGCAACCACGGTCAGAATACCGCTATTGATGCCTTGAAACAAACTTTAGTTGACAGAGAATGGATACATATATCATAAATGACTTACTTTGACTCGTTAAAAGTCATATTTGTTTTTGTTTGATGATTCTATGTCAACATGAAATTCTCGCGATCACGCGATCACGTGCGCGTGAGCCTTGACGGTGATTGGTCAGACTGGTTCCATGTAAGAAATAATACCCGGCAATAGCAATCAGCTGCTTCGCTTAGGGTTATTATTATTTTAAATATGTTTAGTAAAAGCTGCATATAATTAAGAAAATAATGGAATATATTATTCCTGATTAAAAAAATACTTTCAGATACAATTGTTGCCGATTCTTGCATTAAAAATCCTATAAAGTTATATCATTGGGTGTGTCTTGACCGAATCACCGGTCGATTCCAAGAAAACGTGTGTACAGCTGATTGCTGTTTCCGGCTTAGTTTACGAGAAAATACACAAGGTAATCTTAATCCCTAGATATAAAACAATGCCTAGCAAAACGATAAATACTATTTAAACGGTAAATAAACATGTATTGTGATCTTTTACCTCAAATTTCGAATTTGTACTGACCAAGTTTCTCATCACCCGTTCATTTGCCGGACTTCGCTGAAAGGGTACGGTGTAAATTTTTTCTGCGCATAATCTTCAAATTTCTTTTTTTCCAAAATACTGAACCCGCTAGAGGGGGTTGCGCATTATACATGGGTGCGCACTATACTCAAGAAAATACGGCAGCTATTTTTTTCAATTGATGACACTAAAAGAATAAAAAAAAATTCCCAATTGACATTAAAGCTATATGTATCTGACAAAGTCAATAGTGTATATGTATATGACAACTATAATTATGAATAATTTATTTATGAAACAAACTCTCATTAACTATTTATTTTTAATATGGTCATAGTATATTGTATGTCAGGACAGAAAGTAATGTCTATTGTTTTGTTATCTTAATTTGCATATGTTTTTGAAATAGACCAGCAAAATATGGCAAGTAAACACCCCTGGGATTGTTTTGATATCATCATTTAAGATGAAACATCAAATATATATTTAATATGGATTTGTTTCAATGAAATTATAAATTACCTGAAGAAGCATCACAAAGAGACCGATGATATTAAGGAAATAAGAAGGGACAATATCTAAAAAACATTTCAAAAGCAGAAAAAATTAAATCATGACTGTCAGAAAAGGTTGCGATAAAGTTGCTCTCAAGGAATATCAAGTGAATTTTTATTCTACGATTTTGTTTTGAAAAACTAACTTTCTATAACCATACACATGCTTTTTTTGTTTCTTCAAGTTCACAAAAGGAGGGGATCACAGGTCAATTCCATGTTTGACATACGCTGCTTGGAACATATCACGCCGAAAGAACCCTTTCAACCCATTACGATAAACAATGCACTGAAATTCTCAGCAAATTAGCCCTTCATATTTCAGGTTTATTAATGGTGAGATGATTGTAATCCTGTACTGATAGCAACAGAAAAGAGGCTGGACACAGTGAGCTTGCTGGAACTGGTAACCCTGCATTGCTTTAAGAGGTCAATATTTGAATGCCAGGCCCATATTTGTTATTTTAACTAACGAAGGGCAAGGGCCAATGTTGATGCTTTCATTGCAAAGAAAAACTCAGCATCTTGGACATATTCTGGAAACATGGGGAGACATCAAAGAACTGGAAAACACCTTTTAAAGTTGGATATAAATCTTGGACTTTAGGCCAAATATATCCAAAGAAAAAACAAAGCAAGTATCTAGTGGAAAAAATTGTCAGGTTCACATCTGAGCTCCACAAAATTGATTTCAGTGCAGGGGTGGCTGGTGTCTAGCAAGTTCCAGCACTTAGCAGTCAGAGCGCGCGCGCGCGCGCGAGCACGCACGCACACACACACACACTTTTTTCAATATCATATAAATGTGGCCAAGTCATGTTTTAAATATTTGTACTTATAAGTTAGATATTTTAGATGTTTCATTTTAGCTTTAAACTTAACATACAGTACCCTACAAACACTAAAAACCTTTAGAGTTATACAAGCCCTCAATACAATAAGCTTTCACACATTCAGTCTCTTACATTGCCTGAGTTTGGACGAGATAATGGCCAAATACACACTACAAACCTGACTGGATAGATAAGCTAACAGCGAAAGGGTTTATAAATGATACGTTTTGGTTAGTTACCCGAACACAGCTGTGTAAGAAGATTAAACCATGTCGAAGGCACCTCACGATAACTTGGCTACTTTCAAATTGGTGGTGGTCGGTGATGGTGGTGTGGGCAAATCAGCCCTGACTATTCAGTTCTTTCAGAAAATGTTTGTTCAAGACTATGATCCCACTATTGAAGATTCCTACATTCAACACAGGGATACTGACGGGCAGTGGGGTATTCTGGACGTGCTGGACACGGCAGGGCAGGAGGAGTTCAGTGCCATGAGGGAGCAGTATATGAGGAAAGGGGACGGATTCCTCCTCGTCTCCTCCGTCACAGACAAACAGAGCTTTGAAAACCTCAGGAACTTCCACAATCAAATATTAAAGGTAAAAGACAGGAACAACTATCCCATGATCCTTGTGGGTAACAAAGTTGACTTAGTGCACCAGAGAAAAGTCAGCGAAGACCTCGGGAGAGATCTCGCATCTGAGCTGTGTATTACCTACCGTATTTTCTTGAGTATAGTGCGCACTTTTTTTCCAAAAAACACAGCTGTGTAGAAGGGGGTGCGCATTATACACGAATTAATGAGTTTTGATGTTTTTTCCCCTGTGGAAAGACATTACCGTGAGCATGTAACACCGGAAATACCATGTCAACAAATACATACTAAAGTACGCAAATTAGTCATGTAATTACACTGTCTGGCTATAAAAAAGTGTTCTTTGAATATCTGGACTTATGTTTGTAACTTATTTTATTAATTTTATTCAAAATTCCTTTTAATATTGTTTTAATTAATTTTGGCCAAATCGTGTGTGAAGCTATCGGAAGATCGCAAGTAATTATTGCGATCACACCAGCACCTGCACTGGAGCCTTGACGGTGACTGGTCAGACTGGTTCAATGTAAAAAATAATACCCGGCAATAGCGATCAGCTGCTTCGCTTAGGGTTATTATTATTTTGAATATGTTTAGTAAAAGCTGCGTCTAAATTAACAAGATATTTGAATATATTTGGATTGAATTAATTTTGTGAAGAAAATATTAAATTTATCGGCCGAAAGCCATTATATTTTTTCTTTTGTCGACAGAGAATCATCAATAAATTCTAACTATATCAATTGTTTCGGGTAGATAGTATTTTTTAACTCATTGTATTTCCGCCCGGCACGAGCACTCAATCACATGCGTTCCAACAGAAAGAGTAGAGCGAGCGAGCGAGAGAGAGAGAAATTGTCAAAAGTATGGGAGGTTTACTCTTCAGGTAATTAGTTGTACTTTATATTGTTTATTAATGCTTAGAGTACCTTTTCATGTATTATTTCATGTAATTTTATATTTATGCATATTTGAAGGAAAAGTGTAGGATTTTGACAACTGTTGACTCTTGGAACAGTCCATTATATTCTAGTGTAGGGATGTTTTCTTAAATGTACATTTATTAGCGCCAAAGTCACTTTATTTTCAATTTCTTTCCAATATTTGTAATGTTTATCGTTTTAGCTTTTTTTAGGCGTTTGTTAGGCTTTCCTTTTTAGTACATTTACTTGAGCGCACAACCTATTTCCCCTCAAGTAAAATAGACTAGTCCAAATCTCGGCATTAGGCCGGCTGGCAGTGTCACACTAGTTTCAGTGTTTGTTTACATTTTGGAGTCAAGTAAATGTTGTTATATATTCAAAAGCGTTAATTCTTTCGCTATTTTGGTATTTTATAGAATATCTAATGATATTTCCGAGCACTTTGCAATTATTTTCATCAGAGAAGTGAACTTTCAATTGAGTTTTTTTTTGTAAGCAACAAGTGTATGAAAGCTTCCAGAGATTTTTGCGTGTACTTTATTTTTGAGTAAGAGTGCAAAAGAGATTATATATTATGGATTTCCTGATATTTTGTTACACTATTTTATATATTTATTTGATAATTATTTCATAAATAATATAAGGCATTCCAGAGATAATTAGTAACACCAAGTCATTGTACAATTGAGAGTAATTAATTTAATGCCAAGAGACTTTCACTAAGAGATGTATTTTATATATTTAGTGATTGTATGAATATTTGGTGTTAAAACAAAGAGATTTATTATTTTTGTCAATTGTTTTCAGAACTCTGTCATCAGAGTGAATAAATAGGTGTTCGGAAGCCCTCCCGTTTTCCCATTCTTCTTAGTCCAAACCAATATTATTTCTGATAAAAAAATAGTTTCAGATACAATTTTTGCCGATCCTTGCATTAAAATCCTGTAAAGTTATATCATTGGGTGTGTCTTGACCGAATCACCAATAGATTCCAAGAAAACGTGTGTACAGCTGATTGCTGTGTCTGGCTTAGTTTACAAGAAAATACACAAGGTAATCTTAATCTTAATCTAAAGATATGAAACAATGTATAGCAGAACAAAAAATACAATTTAAGTAGTAAATCAACATGTCTGGTGATTTTTTATCTCAAATTTCGAATTTGTACTGACCAAGTTTCTCATCACCCGTTCGTTTACCGGACTTCGCTAAAGGGGTACGGTGTAATTTTTTTCTGCGCTTGGTATTCGAATTTTTTAATTTTTTTAAAATATTGAATCTGCTAGAGGGGGGTGCGCATTATACATGGGTGCTCACTATACTCAAGAAAATACGGTACATTGAAACCAGTGCCAAGGACCCTCCCCTAAATGTAGACTTTGCCTTCCATGTGGTCCGAGTTATCAGGTCACAGCCAATAGATTTGAAGAAACAAAGAAACCGAAGAAGAAGCAAGCAGAGAAAGTGTTCAATCCTTTGATGTCAGTCAATCATTGCCATCAATCCTTTGATGTCTGTCAATCATTGTCATCAATCCTTTGATGTCTGTCAATCATTGTCATGAATGCTTTTCATTGTCTGATCCTTAAGGATTGCTGGTCATCCTACATTCTTGATTGGATAGAAGATGTGTCAGTGAAATGTATTCCGTAAATTTGTATATAGTGGCTTGGATGTATGAATTCATCCAATATTTTGTGTAGTTTTTCTAGATTGACAACTCTAAAACCCAGCTGCCTTAGGACATCACATTAAACTTATGGGGTTTAATCATCTGTGGATTGTTAATCAGCTGGGAATAGGGAGTCAGTCGTAACCTACTGCTGTACAGGTGAATCTGCCTACCAGGATCCTGGCTGTACAGTGAATCATCTCGGAGTTGAAACTAAATGTCCTTTGGGAAACAGATCAGTGACAGAAACTGGCACTAAGCCTATAGCCCTTGCAAACTTTGTGTTAGATGAATGCATCAGTTTACAATTAAACCGAGCTGGTAGCTAAAGTAAAGTAGGTACTTCAACTATCAGTACAGTTGGTTGTATGTAGAATTTATTTCATTTCAATCTAAAATGTATCGTATTGCTTCTATACAGTATGTTATCTACTTAAAAACTGCATTACTAATATACACTTTACTAAACTAAATTATTATTTAAACATTTTCTAAAACCTATAACTGTCTGAATGTGGTATGAAATACGAATAATTCTTGCAAATACCTCACCTCTATTACATCAGTTGCAAGTAGCCATAAATTCCTGTTTATGCTGAGAACCACACTATACATTTTTATAAATTTTCAACAGACGTCCTGCGCCACCATGCATGCGCAAGGCGGGAATCTACTCACTTCTTTCCTGTGTGTCCAGATGACAACAAGGACATTTTTTTTGTTGCACATCCGTACACGTGATTGCGTTCCACACTTACAAAGCATTAGATCTTCTCAAGCTTCATAGATACAAGCAGTGAGCAGTTCTACAAGCAAGAACGGGGGTATAAGGAGATCGGAAGTTCTAGTAAGTAATTAGTTAGAACCGTTTTGTGGGATGAGATCTTCATCTCAAGGACAGACACCCGTCTGTTCAGGCTGTGGGCAACACCAGATACCTGGTGACCCTCACCCTAGACGTCTATCATGCAGGAAAGCAACTTCACACAAAAGTCAAGGTGCAGCTATTGCGAGCCTCTGTCAAAGGAGAAATTTGACAAGATCTACAAGGCATGTATCAACAATCCTGATGACAAAAGATTACTAGAGCATCAAGTAAAAAAGTGATTAAGCCCTTGGCGGCCATAATTAATCACGTGGGTGACAAGCGAGTGTCGCGCGAGGGCGCTGTCTCACCTTATGAGGAGAAGAGACCCGTCGCTCATCCCACTCTCCCAATTAAGTTGAGGAGCAGATGTACTTTACAGGCTTTAACGTAGCCTCTAACTTGCATCCGGCAACGACTGGTACGGTGGACCATCTAGGTTTGAAAGAAGCTTACGATCTTCCACCCTCTGCCACGTTCCCCTTTAACTTTAATGAGTTCGGAGAAAATAACCAATTCAATGTCTGTAATGATGTATAAAGCGCAATCAACACAACCCCGGCTTGGCCAAACAGGGGTCGATCAGATTGATAAAAGTGCATGCAATCAATGTCTCAGGAAATCTCATATCTAAAAGAATGTGTCGCACAACCCCGGCTTGGCCATACAGGGGTCGATCAGAGAACAGGAGAACATAAAAGAGATAGATTACCTCCCTACCATGCACACCATAGGGCAGATCGTGAATCACGGGCATTGCATCACAGTATGCTCAGAAATACACACCAGTCACCAGTCATAAGATAGACGAACTGACAAAGCACGTGCTAATCAGGATAGAATTCCTAAGCGTGCGCCATCTCATACTGCCACACAGTCCAGTTACACAGGTGGAGAAAGCGAGGGAGATGTTACGTCACTATCACACAGTTATAGAACACGTGATTCCCGCACGGCCAGCTGTAGATCAGACGACCGGGATTACGCTACCTTCAGCCATATGACCCAGTCCCAGCGCAGCCTGAGCAGGGGGTGCGGATCTATTGCTAATACTGTTTTTTTTATACAGTGGGGATTCTACTACGGAGGATAATTATAGACCAAATAATTATTCCATTAAAGATATCATTGCAGAACTTTATAAAATCTAATGCCCGCCTTTAAAACAGATACAAGGACAAAATGCCAGTTAACCTTGTTAGAACGTGCCGGGTATGAGGTACCGGTCAGTTGACTGTAGAATTCCTTACCCTTCCCTGTCCGTCATATATTGATGACATCATCAAGAATCGAATATTCATTAAATGCTTCATCGGCACTTAATGTTAGACTGGGTATGCCTGCCATTAATAAGAGTGCTTACACGACACACGTTGCCCCTGCGCACAACAGCCCAGCATTGATGAACTTTTCTACTATCTGGTTAAGAAAACTAACTCTAAAATGCACGTTGACATGGCCAAAATCAAGGACTTAGATTATGTCAACAAACAGATGATTAATATCAGTTCATACATTAACTGGATTGCAGCTGCAATTCACCACATCATACCCCAAACAACCAGAGCGAAGGTCTACCCTTAGACACCCCCATGGAGATGACACTACAGCAGACTGGATTCATCCACAGCTCACTGGACCACATACTGAAGATGCAGGAAGATCTTCAATCAGCACAAGACTGGATGTCAGCACAGTTCCTGCTAAAGATGATCATCCCACTTCGCAGAGGAGGAAGCAGAGGCAGAAGCAGTCCCCGAAGGGGATACCACCGGAATTGACTCAACCAGAGATCTACAGACTCCTTCAGACCCTACCGACATCGCCTGCCCAATGGACAATGATTTAGAACTACAGAAGATCAAAGATACGACCACATCGAATCCAGTCGAACTAGCCGGTCTCACAGACATCGACCCAAGACTACCCAAGTTCAGCAAGGGGTTATCAGCATCTTAAAGGAGTCAGACACCACTACGGGTTCTACTCCCCAGTATTCCAGGTACCTACGTTTTACAGTCAACGGTCAGAGATACCAGTTCAGGGTACTACCATTCGGCATATCCTTCGCCCCATTGTTATTCACCAGGATCACCAATCCCATCATCGGTTTTCGCCCATCTAAGCTCATGAGGCTTCTCGGATACATGGACGATTTCCTATTGGCCGATCAGGACAGTTACACATCAGTTTAAACACAGTGTGCCTCATCCCACTACTAACACTCTTAGGATTCCTGGTTCACCCTCTGAAACAGAGCTAGTACCCACACAGGCATCACCTACATAGGCGCAAGATTTCTACTCAACAAGGGCATAGCAGCACCCCCAGAGGACAGATATGCAAGAGTAGAGCACATGATAACGAGCGCACTCGATCAGCCCGTCAAGTCGAGACGCTGGTGGATGTCTCGCCTACGCATGCTCACATCTATCCAAGACTTAACCTACAGAGGCAGACTACAATTGTAGCCCCTGCAGATTTGGATGAATACCACCTAGAGCTGGAAGCCTTAATCCAACCTCCACAAGTTCGAATCTCAGAACTCCATTGGTGGCTGAATCATCAGAATGTCATGCCAGGTATTCCACTCAATTACCCTACCCCCCTACATCAACTCTACACAGATGTATCAAGAGAGGGTTGGTGTGCCCATATGGACGATGTTACCATACAGGGAAATGGGTCATCCCAAGAGAAGAGTTACACATCAATTGTCTAGAAATGAGAGCGATATATCTAGCATTAACAGCATGGCTAGATCATCTACACCACTCGTCAGTGATGATCGCTACAGACAACTCGACCGTGGTCGATTACTTACAGCACCAAGGATGCACAAGATCTCAGCCTTTACTGAAGGAGGTTACACGTGTATATGCCTTGGTAGACTCAGTGAGTTGCAAGATCGAAGCAAGACACATACCGGGCAAGCTAAACATCCTAGCAGATTATCTATCCCGGTAGAACAAGATAGTACCCACGGAATGGTCACTACATCCCGAGGTATTCAAGTGGATAACCCACTTATGGGATACTCCAAACCTAGATCTATTCGCCACATTTCTCAACAACAAACAACCAGTCTACGTCAGCCCATACAAGACCCACTAGCAATCCAGGTCGATGCGCTCTCCATGGATTGGGAGGGAATGTTTGCATACGCCTTTCCCCCATGGGCTCTCCTAGACAGAGTACTGAAGAAAATAGAGGAAACAGACTGTGTCATAATCCTCATAGCCCCAGCTTGGCCGAAAAGGGCTTGGTTTCCGAGGTTACTACAACTCCTAGTGGAAGAACCTCGGAAACTCCCAGTATGTCACGACCTATTGAGACAACCAAAGACGGACATATTTTACGGCCGCTTCAACAACCTCCATCTTCACGCCTGGAAGTTATCTCGAATAAGATGCAAGCCCCCCGGTTACTCTAAATCAGCTGCACGAAGAGTGGCAAGCTCATTGAGACCAGCATCATCTGCCCTATACAATAACAGATGGGACAGGTTTGTCGAGTGGAGAATGAAAAAGCAGTTAAATGGGGAAATAACGATACCTATAGTGGCTGAATTCTTGCTCTATCTCAGAAACGACAAGAAATTACATCAGTATTACAACACGATGGTCTATATATAGGTACCAACCCAGTACTGAATCAACTCATAAAGTCCTTTGCCCTGGAAGACATTAAAGTAGCACGTACTTCCCAAATGAGATCTATCTATAGTATTGTCAGCATTGATGAAAGCACCATATGAACCCATGAGTAGTGCGATATTACTATTATCTCCAGGGAAACTGTTTTCTCCTAGCCATGGCTACGGCGGCTTATGTGTCAGAATTACATGCTATTGACATCTCAACTGTATCTCATACCCAAGAATGGAAATCAGTGTCGTTTAGATCGCTCCCAGAATTTATTGCCAAAAACCAGTCGTCAACCTTCGGCCCACTCGGACAGGCAATATACAATACCAGCCTTAAGTAAACGTGTGGACTTCCTGGATAGATTGCTTTGTCCCATAAGAGCCTTGAGATACTTCATTACAGCAACTCAACCCCACAGAAAGCAGAGAAAATGCCTCTTTATCTCTTGCAAGCCCTCGTCAGAAAAGGACATCACAGAAGGCACTGTAACGGGATGGCAAAAATCAGTTATCACAGATAGCTACAAACTGGCACAAATCGCCACGCAAATTTGGGGAAACTGCAGGCCTCAGGAGATCAGAGCCCTTGCAACAAGTCGGGGGGTAAAGATTTCAGAAGTACCTCATGAACTCAGGGTAAGTTGACCTTTGTACTGGGTTGTACTAATTGAATTAGGAAACAAGGCAAATGGCAACACTGAAATCAGAGATCGAAGGATTAAGTGAGATACGGTAATCTACATGATAGGATGTATCGATGTACTACCACCGGAAGTGACGTCATAGGAGACATCGCACCGGACTAACATCAAGATACGTTAAATATCACTATCCAGAAGGGCATAACGGTAAACCACGTCATAGTGATACGAGAATATGGAAGACATATACAAGAGGCATGGTATGACACCGGAAGTGACGTCACAGATGACGTCATCACCGGAAGTGACGTCACAGATGACGTCATCACAGGAAGTGACGTCATATTATGTCTAAGTATCACAGGGATGGATATAAATATACCCATCATATGACGTTTAAAAAAATTCTCTATGTCTAGTCTTGTAAGTAGACTATTAGACACATTCCGTTTGAGACCCCTTTTGGCATATAATCCTTGGGTTACCACTTCACAAAGCCAAATATCTAGGGATGCTAGATACCAGAACCCGCCGGTCCCTCTGGTGTATACTGGCAACTGATGTAATAGAGGTGAGGTATTTGCAAGAATTATCAAACAATAGTTATCATTGTGAATAATTCTAAGAATACCACCTCTATTACATCAGGAATTAATCCCTCCCACCTCCCCAAATATCTGCATCTAGTTGATGAGGGTAATGGGTTGAAAGAAGTGAGTAGATTCCCACCTTGTGCATGTGCGATGGGGCCCCTGGCAAGGGATAGGGTTTCCCTCACAACTATAGATATGCTGGCAGTGAAGAGGACGTTTTAAAAATTTATAGTGTGGTTCTCAGCATAGACAGGAATTTATGGCTACTGGCAACTGATGTAATAGAGGTGGTATTCTTAGAATTATTCACAATGATAACTATTGTTTGATGTATGTATGGGACATCTGTTATTTTTATATCTTATTTTATATGGCCATTATTAGTATTGTCAAGGTTGTATTTCAACTTGTTATAGAATGATGTGACCCTAACGAACCTTGAACGTAGCTGCGAACCACTAAGAGTTAAGCTTATTGCCACACAGTGGGAAGTGGGGAACATAATTTTATATATGGTTCAAACTAATAACTAGTATATTGTTATCCTTCTAAATTAATGTTTTGTGTGAATGTAATGTATTCACAAAGTATTTACAAATGGCAATTTTATATAGTTATTCAGAAATAGTTTAGATCCTGCTATTTATATTTAAGGATTTATTCATGCTAGTGCTAATGTGCTAGCTGATAAGATGAAGTCATGTAATTGTGTTTAATCTCCACGAAGGCAATATTATTATGTTCTTCTACAAAAATACTTATAATGTTTGCTTTATATTTTCAGGGTTTACTATGATTATTATTATCTGCACTCTGAATAAAGATGGTTGTCATGTGAACTGACAAGTAGCGTTGTGTTGTGTGTGCCCCACCGACATTCACCCCATAACCGCTACTACATTAAAACAGTGTTTCTACACCCTAATTAAGGGCTTAAGGGGGATAGAAATAGAAAATGCATTTGATCCACCAGGGGATATAATTCAGAAATGTTGAACAATATCATATGCTTGAAAGGCTTATTTGGAAGCTTCCAAAGTAGTGAATGTTTGTTTTTTTAAACCTGCAGGGCTGCTGATGTTTACCGCTTGTTGCATGTTGGGAGACTGGCAAGCTGTACAACGAGGCATTCCGTCAGCACACCAAGGCTTTGGCAGGGTGTAATTTAAAGGGTTGACCTTGTTATAGACAACGAACAGCAGTGGGGCCTTAAATGGACAGAGAGAGTTAAATGTACTGACTGTACCTACCTGTCAGAGTACTGTAAACTGTACAAGGAGGTAGAGGGTAGTAAGGTGAGAAGGGGATCTTCCACTGCGAACACTGGACTGCAGATAGTCTTCTCAAAATGTCCAGTAGGGTGTGAGAGTATCCGTGTGCTGTGCAAGAGTGCCGATACACCTCCCCCATCCAATTCTGACATGCAGAAAGCTGCAAACAGAGTTTGTGATGAAATTAAATCTCAGAGCCAAGAGGGTGGAAATAAGGGAAAAAAATAAATATGAGGGAGCAAATTTCAATAACATCAGCTTATCAACTGATGGAATGTAGAATAATCCACTGTGTTCAAGTGTTGGGAAAACCACTTTTCAGCCAGACACTACAGTAACCTACATGGCCACTGAGAACCAGACAGTGACAACCAAATTTTGGCTTCAAACCCAAAATCAAAACTTTGTTCAAAGCACAGCTTAGTTGACAATATTTCTAGCGTAAACAACCCAGACAGCACATCTGATTTGCACATGTCAGAATCAATTGGAAATGAAAAACAGTTAGAGTGCTCCTGGTATGTAAGGAAAGACCAAACCGGGGAAGATGCTGACAGAACAGCTCCCACAGCTCTCACTGAAATGCAGAAGCAGGTCAAAGAGATGTTTGCCAACATACTATTCTTGACACGGCATCTCTCGGCCAACCACAGAAAGTTTATTAAAAAATAAAAAATTGTTGTGGATATGATGCCTGCTAGAAACAGACAAGATTAACAAAAATTTGGCAAATACATCCAGATGTGCAGCTGAGTTTTCAGATGCTTACTCAAGTCATGCAGTGACCTGCCAAGCTTGAAAAAATCTCTCTCTTATTCTTCTGATGCTGTTGCAAACTGTTACATGGGGGATCACACGAAATGCAGAAAGAAGTCCACAATGCTGTTCATAATGTCAACTGCAAGAGTCTGGCAAAGTCAGTACTGAAGCCTCAACTAGGGCTTGGGTGTGCTGTCACTGCAAAACAATATTTGAGAAATTTGAGAAATTTGCACCAAAAGGATCATCCATACACAAAAATTGCCCCCAGCAGAAAGATATAATGATATAATACATTGCTTACATCAAACAGTAGGGTTTATGACTGTTAGTACACAAGCCCTGTTGTCGGCAGTGAATTCTCTCCATGTTAATTTCATGGGACTCGACAGCCAAATGGTCAACATTTACACAAGACTTGTTGTGGCAGAGGTAGCTTACTTGTTGCCAATGTTGCCAAAGTTATCAGTTTCGCCCAAATCATCTGGAAGGCATTTATTCTCAATACAGTGGGCCAAAAAAAGAAAACAACGCCCCTAGCCGTGCTTATCACGGCTGCCCAACCACTCCTTGCAACCCTATATCCCACTTGCTTCACTCATTTTACATTCAAATTTGACTCTACAATTATACCAAAAGGTTTCAAGGGCAATAGATACACAAGAAATTTATAAATTATGAATTGCTGAAATATGCACTTAGCCTACAGGATACACACAACCAAATCTTTTTCCACAGACTTCTATAGTAACGTTATATCTTTTTTTAATTAACTAGGCATTCAACAGCCATTACATTTACAGGTATGCACAACCTGGCCTTAAAGCTGCAATAAAAGCACAGATTTTGACTAGCTTAGGCAGTTTCTGTGCAAGTACCTTAACCTAGGTCACGTTAGATAAGCTTTCAAACTTTGAAGTAAGCTACTTGCATTTAGAACTTAAAAATGTCAGGTAACTTGAAGTCTAATGAAAAGATGTAGCATTTATAAAAGAATATGTATACGTATATATATAATACTTCATGCAGTTTTATTTTGAAACAGTTTAATGCACTTTAGCAAGCGGTTAAATATTATAAATATTTTATTGCATAGTACGGGTAAGATAATGCAACGATACACCAGAAGTGACAAACATGTGGCAGCAAGAGGAACAAGTATCGTTAATCTTATCACCACCTCTCTCTTATCTGTGCGTATGGCGCCACTCAGTCTTTGTAGCACTGCTGCGACCCGCGCGGTGAGTACCTCCACTGCCTGCTTGGTCTACGTGACACACAGTGCAGTGAGTACCTCCGCTGCCTGCTTGGCCTACGTGACACACAGTGCGGTGAGTACCTCCGCTGCCTGCTTAGTCTACGTGACATACAGTGCGGTGAGTATCTCCGCTGCCTGCTTGGTCTACGTGACACACAGTGTGGTGAGTACCTCCACTGCCTGCTTGGTCTACGGGACACACAGTGTGGTGAGTATCTCCGCTGCCTGCTTGGTCTACGTGACACACAGTGCGGTGAGTACCTCCGCTGCCTGCTTAGTCTACGTGACATACAGTGCGGTTAGTACCTCCGCTGCCTGCTTGGTCTACGTGACACACAGTGCGGTGAGTACCTCCACTGCCTGCTTGGTCTACATGACACACAGTGCGGTGAGTACCTCCACTCCCTTCTTGGTCTACGGGACACACAGTGTGGTAAGTACCTCCACTGCCTGCTTGGACTACGTGACACACAGTGCGGTGAGTACCTCCACTGCCTGCTTGGCCTACGTGACACACAGTGCGGTGAGTACCTCCACTCCCTTCTTGGTCTACGTGACACACAGTGTGCTAAGTACCTCCACTGCCTGCTTGGACTACGGGACACACAGTGCGGTGAGTACCTCCGCTGCCTGCTTGGACTACGGGACACACAGTGCGGTGAGTACCTCCACTGCCTGCTTGGTCTACGTGACACACAGTGTGGTGAGTACCTCCACTGCCTGCTTGGACTACGGGACACACAGTGCGGTGAGTACCTCCACTGCCTGCTTGGACTACGGGACACACAGTGCGGTGAGTACCTCCACTGCCTGCTTGGACTACGGGACACACAGTGCGGTGAGTACCTCCACTGCCTGCTTGGACTACGGGACACACAGTGCGGTGAGTACCTCCACTGCCTGCTTGGTCTACGGGACACTAAGTGTGGTGAGTACCTCCGTTGTTTGCTAGAGCTTGAAACAGACAAAGTGCTGAATATTATATGTTCATAGTTCGGGCCTATTTACAAAATTACCTGACAGTGTAAGAACCATATACACTCTTCAAAAAAAGAAACACACAGGTAGTATGTAGTTCACTGAACCTGACTACACAAACAAATCTGGTATATAAACTGGACATATGCAATTTTAAAAATGTTGGTGGCCTGATATTCGACAAACGGTGCGCCAAAACACAGCCATTGTCAATTTGCAATGTCTAAAACGGCATTGTTTTCACACTTAATAAAAAATGTCATGGAGGAAAACAGTAAATACACATGCAAGTTACAGCCTGGTTCCCTGGATATGCTGCGCTGGTGCTAGAACAGGTGGCTAAAATTATTTCTTAGTATTTTCATGAATACTCTTGCAATGTATATGTCACGAGAATAACATCCATTTTAGTGAAGGAAAACATTATTTAAGCCGTTTTCTTCCATTGTGAAATGGTGGTTTAGTGGAATTATTGAAAGCCCAGTATCCGTAGTAATGGTGTTTAATGATAGGGTCTGTCCTTGGTACTGATATTTGGCCTCTGGATTATATTCACATGAAAAGCCATTTAATTGGCATTTGTTTTCTTATTACACAATGAAATTAATTATAAATAGATCTGATAATTTTGGAAACATATTGGATTAATTTCAATCTAGTGTTTCTGAACTATGTGTGTGCTTGTTAAAACTAGTAAAATCCTAGATATTTTTTATATACTTATCCTGCATTACTCCTTAATGCATATCACTGCTTGTTCTTGACAGAGGTAAGAGCTGTGTGAAGGTCTTTGCTTGAAGAAGTTGTTCCAACTAGCTGAGAGGCAAACCCTATCGCACGTGACCAAAGGAAGTGACGTCACGGATCCTCACATTACTCTGGAGTCCGGACATCGGAAGGCATCATGGGGAGGTAGATCTGGGATGGGTGGGTCCCTTTAGACCCAGTAATACAGGATAAGTATACAAATATAAAAAATATCTAGGATTTTACTAGATTTTTTACTTATCCTGCATTACTCCTTAATACATCTTTATCGGACGGAACCGGAGGCGGGCATACCTTCAGATTTGGACTTTCATCTTTTATTTCCAGACTCTGTTCCCTAGCCAATCCTTGGCTGTGTGGTTGGCTTCGGGTGACCAATCCATGTATGGGTACCTCCAATTCCCTCAGCCCGTCCTCGGCTGTGTGGTCGGCATCAGGTGACTACTCCATGTATGGGAAACTCCAATTCCCTCAGCCCGTCCTCGGCTGTATGGTCGGCATCAGGTGACCACTCCATGTATGGGAAACTCTGTTTCCTTCGGCCCGTCTTCGGCTGTATGGTTAGCCTGGATGACCATTACATGGAAGGGAAGAGTCAGGTATGCGTTGTGTCCTGGTACTGCGCAGCCTGACAATAACTCTCGGTTAGGTCGAGACTGGAGTACCAAGCCGTATGCAAGTGGGGCATGAACCTTCTAGTCCAGGGCTTACGCCAGGGGAAGTCGAAAGGCCGGCTCTTGACTTGGAGGCGAGGTCAGTGACGTGTAGTAGAGGAGGCTGTTTGGCACTAATAACAGACCTAGCATGCCTAGCACATCCTCCAATGCGACATCTCGCATGTGGTGACTGGCAACTAATGTGTTTGATCGCCAGGACACATGTCCATGATGGCAAGTAGAGCTCAGTTGCTGTGTAGCACCATGGTGGGGGCGATCGCCCGGGTCTCATGTGGGTTGTTGGAGCCTGGGGGTCCAATCCCGCGGCCTCGTAGGCCTGGAGAATGAAGGCTCGTAGCCAGAGGGCGATCGTGTTGCGGCTACCTTCCGCTTGCGAGGTCGCAGCTCTATACCGGAATGAAGAGGCGTCGTCGTTGTCTATGGCGTTCCTTGCATCGTCTGATATAGCAACAGAGTGCTCTAACAGGATATAGACAGAGCTCTAGTTCATCTTCCGCGCCCACAGTCGAAGATAGGGGAGGGTTTAGGAACGATCTATCTGGCTGTCATGGGAATTGATTCTTGGCGAAGCAGTCCCAGCACAGGCCAAGATGCATGGCTCCATGTTTAATTTGCTTGAAAGTTATGGTTATTTGTTACTCGCATGTGTGTTCCTTAGATTGCATCATTTAAATTTTGATAATAAATAATATGTATCATCATAACTTGGTGACAACCCCAACTCCCCCACCCCAAATATCATGTTTATGACAATAGACAGAAGGGAACATTATTACATTTTAACAACTGATAAGCATTTTACCAAATATGTCTTTGATAAACTACAGCCCTTGAAAGTGTGTTTTTCACACATAGTTTCCTCTGGTTTTCTTGACAAAATCAGTGGCCACTTTCAGGACAAACTGTTTGGGTGTCTGGAGCTCAAACATGGCATTGGTATCTAGTAGAATTTCATGGCATAGTGATTTTCCATATCAACTAGAAAACCTTCCAATGGTGTAATTTATGATAAAATTTTCTACAACCGCATGCTTAAGTGTCTTCAGTTGATTAATTGCCACACCATGACTACTGTTACATTTTTATTTTTTTCATCCTGTGAAAATGAGAATACACATGGATGTGTATGTCACTGAACAAAAATTAATTCAAAATAATGAACATATTCTTTATTATTATGCCATTCAGACCCGACATTTTTACATGCCAACACATAGTTAAAAAACACTCGATTGGAATTAATCAATTATTTTTCTACAATTATTAGATCTATTTATTATTAATATCATTGTGTAATAAGAAAACAAATGCCAAATAAATGGCTTTTCATGTGAATAAAATCCAGAAGCCAAATGTCAGAACCAATGACAGACCCTATCATTAAATACCATTAATACAGATCAAAAGTGTTTGTTTTTTCTAGTTATTATACTGGGCGATCAATAACTCTGCTAAATCCACCACTTTACAATGGGAGAAAACAGGGCACAATCAGCGACATAGATGCTAACAGTATT